GTATGCATATATATCGATTATTGACAAGTTGATAATACAAGCCGATTCAATCTCTTTGCATACAGTATGCATTATTTTCAAATACAAACCGAATGGCAATCTTTCCAACTTTGTCCTTTTGTGAATACAAAGTCAATTTGAATTTTTTTTTTTCAAAACTCACGATTCTTTTCAAAATCAAATGTGGACACAAATGGCAGTGATTCATGAAACCAAATTGAAAACCGAATGGCTATCGAGAAGTACCTTTAAGCATGATGATCGGAAATTTTCAATGATTATCGTGAATTTTATTTTCAAAAAACCCTAACTTTTCATGAATCAGAAATTCATTCATAATTATTTATGGAAAAACACAAATTCTTAAACACATGCTCTGATACCACATGTAAGCAATTTAATCAGTAATTCATGATTCATGTTCAACAGTAATCAGTCAAGAACATGACATAGGATCTTTAGAATTCATGAGTTTCACACAAACATACCTTTGTCCATAATTGCGGAAGATCTTTAACAGTAGAATGCTTTCTCTAAGCCTTAACCCTTTCACCGTTCTTGTACCTTCTTTGATAGGGATACGATACAACTTTTCTAGGCAGACTCAGAAGGACGTTTGTTTTCTATCAGATACCCTTATGTGAAAACTGACCATATAAACTATTATGTAACTGGCCTATCACAGTTATTTCTAATTAACTTCCCTTAATGCGAAACGTCAAAACGTCAATTACCATTAATGCGAAACGTTACCATAATGCAAAACGTTAAAACGTCAATTATCATTAATGCGAAACGTTACCATAATGCAAAACGTTAAAACGTCAATTATCATTAATGTAAAACGTCAATTACCTTAAAGCCTCTTTTATTATTAATCAAACCAATTGACACACATCACACATGAGACACAAATAGTTTTACAGACCCGATCGGGTCGGGCCGGATTTTATAATAGTGGTTTGCACAGATTTCACCGATGTGTCTTGTGGGCCCCTAGACAAAACAAAAATGTTTGTAATACCAAAACAATAAAATTCTTTCACCGGTGCACTGAACCGATCAATCAACCCTACACACTCGGTGTGTATATTAGTGATGTTCATAAATCCATTCAAATCGATTTAAATTACGGTGATCAAATCAAAAAATCAAAAATCGAAAAAAAATCGCAAAATTTAATTGGATTAGATCGATTTTTGGATGGATTGATAAAAACTGAACCAATCCAAATCGATTCAATTATTCCACAATCTTACCATCTATCTACTTGGGCCTTTCCCCAATCATAGCCCAAAAATCATATAGTAAAATTCTAAATTCAAGACCCATCAACCCATCATGTTGGAGAAAGTGGGTTGTGCTTGATCTATGTTATATATGTTTTTGGTAAGATACATAATATAATTTTATTACGTAGGTTATTGTTGTACAACAGCTCCTCTATAGGACAAAAAATTGGGTTACTTCGTATCTCAAGCAACCATATTATAATTTTTTTGTTAAAAGTAAAAGATGATAATTTAACTTTTTATTGTACAATGCTTCTAAATTGTACAATAATCATCATACAAATTTTACAAAGCCGATACATATAAAAGATATGTTATTTGCCAAATAATCATCATACAAATCTTAAGCTTTTCAAAAAATCAAAAACCGATCCAATCCAAATCGAATAAAATTAGATTGTATCGGATCAGATTTGAAAAAAAAAAAAAATTAAATGGATTATTACATAATTAAACTGAAAATATTGAATCAGATGATTTTTACTTCTAAAATCGATTCAATCCAGACTGCGAACATCCCTAATGTATATGTTTGCTACTTTATTTGATTTTATCTTCACAAATCTTATTTTCACAATTGAATTGTTAGATAATCATTTTATTTTATTTAAAAAAAATTATCTGTGATCCATATAAGTTAATCTTAAAATTTATGAAAAATCTGTTAAGTCAAAATTCATATAAACATCATTAATTTTAACTATACATATATGACTTTCAACAACAACAAAAAAAAGTCTTCACATTTTCCTCTCGTTATACAACTTGAGTTATAATTTAGGAAAAATTATATTATGTTTTTAGAACACAATTAATTTGTTTTAAGAAAAAAAAAATAGTAATTCAAGTCGGTTCATCTAAAATTTTTATAAGTGTATTTAAAATAAATAGTAGAGATTTTTCTTAGGGTATATATTCAAGATTTTCTTTTAGTTTAGACTTTAAGCTATGTAATAACATATATTCAGCTACGTACTAATGAATACATTTCATTTAATTATTACGGCTGGGTAGTTTAGACTTTGGATCACTGGCGGACGCAGTCGGTAGCAAATGTCCGCACCTGCGGACATAAATATTGTGACTTTTCTTGTTGTTTTTTGTTTTTTTTTTTTTGTTTTTTTTTTTTTGCAGGTTTTTATTTATTACTTGATTCAATATTAGGTGTAAATATTTTTTAAGTTCTTAATAAAAAAATATGATTCCCACTTTATTTTTTTATAAAAAAAATTAATCTTGAAATTCCTAAAAAATTTAAAGGGAATCAATTTAGTTAAAATCGCGGTCCTTCATAAATTCAAAAAAAACCCTCATTAGTCACTCAAAATGATTAAAATGTATCCACTTTGAATCTCATAGGAACCAGGTCACTAATTTTTTTTGTAAGGGACTAAAATGAGGACTGAATTTTTTGTTAGTGACCAAAAAGAGTATTTACTCTTATATTAGTTAGCAACGTACAAAGATGATTAAAATAACATAGCAATGCAAATTGATTAGAGAGAAAACTTATTCTCCCTCCTGTGTCATGTACTCCTTCACATGCTCTCTTCATTCTTTATTTTCTTTTTCATTTTTATAAAAAGAGATGATTGATTGCACGTCTGACATTTTCAAACAAGTTAATCTCTAAAGACGAGACCTTCAATGTGATTTCACTTGTCTTCTGTACCGTAATGTTGACTTTTTTATTTACCACTATAAAATAGAATGATGATGTATGGATGTACTGGAGTATATTCTCATATTTATTTTGGAAGATTGGTAAGATTTAGAAGAAAAATGATTGGTCAAACTATTGTCTGCAGCTTGTTATGAAAGCAACTAGATTATGAGTGAGTTCATAATCTTGTACATAAAGCGTTAATCTAAACTGTCTTTACAAAAAAAAATTCGGAGACATTGCTAAATATAGACATAAACAATTTTTCCTGAGTCCGCCACTGCTTTGGACTATGTAATAACATATATTCAACTACTAATTAATTTATTTCAATTTATTATAACGGCTGACTATTGCATTGTATGCGGAAGCTTCAATCAAACTTCAATATAAATCCTCTGAGTGCATTTTGCTCACATAATTAAAATTAATATACAAATTCGTTGGAGATATCTTAACAGGCAGGGTACGGCTATAAATTTTATACTACACTTCATCTCATTTATTATTTTTCCATTGCCTTTGCTTTTCGAGTGAGATACCTCTAATAGGCATTTTTAATTGCGTAAGATTTCCTCTTAAATTATTATACACTTGAATATTATAATTATTAATTTAATTTTGATCTTTTAAATAGTTTATTTTGGAATCAGTCACGACACGTAAAAGCAGAACATGTCTTATGATAGTTTCATTTGGGGGAAGACCAAGCAGGTGCTACTCGACCTTTTCACAGCATGAGTTTTTTTTTTTTTATTTCTTCAACCTCTATCAGCAAAATTATATATTAATGGCGTGTTTAGAGCACTTGATAAGGAAGATATGATAAGATAACTTATCATATTTTATTTTTATCTCTTGTTTGGTAGGTCAATAGTATATGATTAGTTTATCCTATTATCTTATTTTATCCTATCTAATACAAGATTTCTTATTCTATAGGGGAAGCTGGGTTGGGATTCCATAGGATAGGATACCAATATTGGATACTCAATATATCCACACGTTATCCAATATATCTCCACGCTACCCAATATATTTGTATTTATTGCATTATATTTTGTTTTTTCTTTCTCCTTTCTTATTCTATATAATCTTATCATATTGTTAATCAGGTGTTCATCAAACACAAGACATGATATAGGCTTACCAGCATTATATCATATCATATCCTTATCAATCCCATATCATATCCCTATCTTGTCCACCAAACAAGTCCTAAGAGTATGGAAAATGATTCATTTATAATTTTTTTTTCAAATTACACTAAGTCTGACCGATCATATACTTTTGATTGAAGTATGACCGGTAAGAGATAATGTTATGACCGGTAAGACATAATGTAATTTGTAAGAGTTAGAATAAGCAGAGAATCAAAAACAACAAAAATTATATGCCTCTCAAAACTGATGAAAAGGTTTAACATACTTTAGTTGTATATACGAAAAGGGTTTTATAAGAGTTATGTTGTAGGAAAAGTGAATCGGTAATGTTACAGAGATTCATTTTGCGTGCCGTAATTTTTTTTTTTTTTTCTTTTTTTTTCAAAAAGTGTGGACCCCACAAAATATAGTGTATGTAGGAAAGTTTGTTATGTCATATTTAAATGACAAAACTAAACCCTATATGAAAAAATCGAAAAGTTAACAGCATATGTGGACAAAAGTCTTTATTAACGTATTTGGGGAGTGGCGTTAGTTTAATGAGATAAGGAATCTTGGCAAGTGGTAATTTTTTAACTAGTTGGACCAAACCCACAAGCAAAGAATTTCCACAACCATGACAAACCAGAGGAAAACTTACACAGCAATTCAGTTCCTAATCAACGAAAATTACTTCCTTTTCATCACACGCTTTGGCCCACGAATTCAATGATCCCACACAACCATCAATGTCCCAAACCAACCCCTTTTTCCTCCTTCCACGCCTCAAACTGCATAATTTCCTTTCCTACATGAAATTCTAGAGTTTTGTCCATTAAGAAATTAACCCATTACTGCACTTTGCACCAACTTCACCATCATCAAAAAAAGATTCGATTTTTAATGGGAGGCCAACAAAAGAAGATTAGTCAAAGAGCAAGGAACGAGATAATGGGTTTCACAGTTTCTCACAAGCCTGCAGGGCTTGACCTCATGCAGAACTGTGATCTTCCTCCACCTTCAAAGGTTTTTATGGGTCCAGATAAGACTGTAATATTGTCCATGAATAAGGTATGTAACATTGCAGGTAAAGAAGAAGAAGAAGAAGAAGAGCAAGATAGCAAACACTGTGGTGCTTACGTGATTGAAAATGGTGATGATAAAATGAAGCTTCTCAAGGCGCTGCAAGCATCTCAAACTCGAGCAAGAGAAGCAGAAAAAAGGGCTTCAGTTCTAAGCAAAGAAAGGGATGGTCTTTCAATCGCTTTGTTGGAGGAGGCAATGCAAGTGTTTGCCTATCGCCAACAGGTGAGATTGCTTGAGCTTCAAGTTTCGAACTTGCAATTGATGCAGCAACAACCAGAGGTAGCTTTAGGATTATCCAAAGGACATGACCATGGTGAAGAAACGACAAGTGTCACATGGGTTCTGGCTTTGGTTCTTTCATTGGGAATTGGAGTGACCACTGCCATTGCTTGCAGATACTAACTCTGATTATCCCTACTGTCATTGGAGTTGTGTTGATAAATGGAAGATTATATCTGCATATACAAATTTTTGCTTTATATTTATACACAATATAATTTCATAGCGAATCCATTATATTATATTGAGCTAAACGAGCGTTTTCATTCTCTCTTTTCGTTCATTTACTACACTAAGAAGGACTGTTTTGGTGTACAGGAAATAATAGAAATGAATAGGATAAGAAAGCTGAATAAGAGTAACATAAGCTCATACATTCTATCCTGCGTTTGATGTAGACTGGATAATAATATTTATTTTCTGTGTTTGGGGCAAACTATATATAATGTCAAAATATAATATAAATAGATATCCTTTAATAAAATTTCATATAATTTTTTAAAATTGATTTTTAAACTTTTTTTAATACTTATTAAAATGTATTAAAATGTTCAAAACCGTAAAGTCATTTCCCCATATAACTGATATTAGACATGCATAGCCAAAAAATACACAATGCAACTCTAGGCGATAAACTCCTGTAAAAAAGGAAGATGCAGAACTGCTACTCTATATATATATATTAGTTCAAGTTAAACTGTACATTTTTCTACATCTATGTACTATATATATACCCATATACTTAAAACGCAGTAAATAAGTACGCAACTGGCAATTTATATAATGGCCATGTGTATATTTCTCAAATGGTTATAACATTCTTCACTACTTTTAAAGAACTCCAAGCAAACCCAGCAGACATGGTTTCCACACTTGCACTCAATGTGGTTGCAACCATCAACCTTCTCAATTGTATAACCACAGCCAGGGCAGCTCTTAACTTGCTCTTTCCCTTTGCACCACTCCTTCAGAGATGAGTCCGGATCTTCCTTGAATTCACGATATCTCTCACACGAAAGGAATGGATGATACTCTAAGTGGCACCTGGTACAAGTCTCAGAATAACATGAACCACAAACAAATGGCTCACCACCTGTCTCAGGATCTGCAACTCGATAAACTGAGGGGCAGTCAGGAGACGGGCAAAACCTGTATATTCCCCCACTCGATGTCACGAAAGCTCCCAAAGAAGCCCTGAAAAGTTCCTCCAACTTATCATTTGATAAGAGAGATCTCAAATCTGTAAGCACAATGGGATCTCCACAGCCCCCGTGAGCACAACATATTGGGAAACTGCCTTGGTTTCTTATAGCAGATTCACATTGCTCCACCAGACATAACCGGCAGAACAAATGACGACAGGCTTCAAGCTGGTATCCATCCTCAACCTCACACAAGCAAATTGGGCAACTAGGTCCGGTGTCAGGTCTCTCAACCAAATGATGACTTGAACGTGCAATCTCAAAAATCATTTCCTCTACTTTTGGTTTCAACTCCTTGTTACCATGAAGAAAGATTATCTGGCGGTGTGTGTTGAGTTTAAGATCGGCCCCAGGTACCTTCTCTTTTAGTCCATGGAGATCTGGCCCAAAATTCTTAACCACTTGCTTCATTAAATCAGGAGGTAGATCCCTCCCTCTCAGATGGATTTCTAGCTGTTTTCCTTCATGTAGAGAGAGTAGGCATTGAATCACCTTCTTCTGAGCCAAAGCAATCTTGTTCGGGGAACCAAACACACGTAAATCAAGGTTGTACCTGTCAAAAAACATGTAAGTTCCTGTCTCTTGCTGTAATGAGCTTTTAAGATTCAAGCCATCTCTAGACAACATGAGCTGTAGAACTGCGGGGGTGAGGCTGTCGTGGTCAATGGTTTTGCCTCTCAATAGTTCTTCCAGAGGTCTCCTAACTTCTGCCACTGTCTTTGTGGCATTGGCTGTTATCTTCACTCGGTGGGAACCATTAGCAGTCCTGTCCAGCTTCCACTCAACACCTTGAGAAGAAGACCAATGATTGTCAGCAGTTAAATTGTAGTGAGAAGTTTCTTAAAAAATAATGCAATTAAAGTTATCGCACAGTATAAATAAGCTTCAAACAAACCATGGACGGATGACATATAAAAATCAATCAACTTTTGAAATTTAAGCAAACTCAGAAACATAGTAACTAGGAAATATTAATTTGATCCATTGTCAACGTTAAAACTCTAAACACTAGTAGTAAACAAGGAAATACCCATCATTAGAGTAGTCAACATATATATTACACGTGTAGCAAAAACTGCTTACAAGGTTTAAATAGGTAACATGATATGGTTAATCCAGTAATAGAGATGTTGGATCAAAATCTAATCCATATATAATGCATAAACTATTGAGAAACAAGTAAAAGAGAGGGCCCCTACAACAAAGGTGCACTCCTCACTTCTCCTTTCATTTTTTCGCAAACTACTTTTGGGCTCTATTTTTTGTAGTTGTTTGGGGGGGGAGTATGAGAACATACTACATGAATTAAACTAACCACAGCAACTTTGATCATAAAATAATAAAAAATAAAATCATTTGACACAATTAAAAAAAAAATAGGTGGCAGCCATGTAGAAAGTAAAAGGCTTAGCATTTGTAAAAGAGGCAACGCAAAGATGAAGTACAAGCATCTGCCAAAAAAGGAACAAAATGATAAAGTACCCTTTAATTTGCTGAAGCTTGCAAGTACTTTTTCCAGTTGTTCCTTGATCACAGGATACACATGAATAGGAAATGTCAAGGTGCTGTGGAACAACCGTTGGCACTTTATCTTCTGCCATGAAAGACATCCAGGCAACACCTTTCCTTCAATTTGCTCCAAAGCTTTTGCTGCCTCTAAATGTAATCTTCCATCAAAAGTGATTAGAGCTCTCATAAAAGCATCCTTCGGCCCAGGTGGAAACACACGAACGCGGCAAGAACTAATGTGGGGGTTTCTTTTGGGCATTAAGGGGGAAATTTCTTTTAGGAGTGCCTCTTCACAGGCATTGCATGGTGGATTTCCAACAACGTCTCCTCTCACCAAGAAAAAATCCAGAATTCTTCTACTTGTAGCCATTCTAAGTACATCCAAAATTTCAGCTTCCGAGAGCTCTTTGTCAAGCCCTCTTATCACTACACTATCCTCATGCTTTATGCTAGCTTCACATCGAACATTCCTTCCTCCTATTGCAAGGTTAGAGAAATCTCTCAAGATGAAATTGACATCTTTTATGTCACATTTAACTATGGCAAACCCCATGCTAAATTTACGAGGCCAAGAAATTTTTGCAGTAACAGCAGGAAATGAAAATGTTTTATCTCCTCCCATAGCTGTTTGTGACAGAACAATTTTCAAGGACGAGTCACAAAACTCCTCTCCGTCTAGTTCAGCAGCTCTTTTAGCAGCATCAGGGGACAGAAATGTTATCTTGCCCCACTTTTCTCTATTTTCAACCTCCTTTGTCATGCCTGTGAACTTGTGCACAGCACAGATAGAACCTGAGATATTCTTCTCAAAAAACATCAAGAGTTCCTTGTCGTCAATTGCATTTATGTTTGGGTGAAACACATCAACACTCAAGGAACGTTTGTCAAGTTCCAAATGCTTTATCTCAGCACCAGACCCAAACAAAGCTACGGAAGGTGAGAAACCAGATCCATGATACAAATATTTTTCCATGCATTCAGTATATAATCTCTTCTTCTCATATTCTAAAGCATCATTAATCAAACTAAGGGCTGTATTCATATCATGTGAAGTGGCATATAACTGGATGTCATTCTCATCAACACTCACTTGAATGAAAATACGGTCATCCATACATGCTTTCCTTATGCGCGATACAAGACCAAGCAAATTACTGTTGGCTTTCCCACAAAATCTCTTCAGAAGCATACAGCCAAAACCAGTCAATCTCCTGATTTGCAACTTCCGCTGTTCCATCTTGGACACATCAAACAAGGGAGGAGGGTAAAGGTCTTCCAATGATTGAAAGTCAAAAGCACTTACACAGACCAAATATTGATTAGAAACTGAAAGCAGCTCACCGAAAACCACCCAACCAGGTTTCTGAGCAAATACAAGCAATGAACAAGATGGATGTAGTTGAACATGGTGCCCAGTTTGTGCTACTTCATAACCAAGATGATTGCATCCAGAGTACATGGCTACATTCTCAGCAAGTGAGGACAGTATAACCCTTTTCATATTTTTATCATGAGCAGAGGGCATGCAAGGGTCCCAACGCCAGTAACTTGGAACAACAAAGGGAAGGTCACGCTCAAGGCAAGATTCTAGCTCTGAAATTGTGTCTTGGCATCTCCTCATAGATTTGGCATTGATGCTGTTCTCCCAACACCATTTGTTCTTCCTTTCTTGAGGCAAAGCTTCCCATTTCTTGTACACAGCAAGAAGAGTAAAGAGGTCACCATCAGAATGGCAAAATTGCACTTTAAGACAGTCAGATCTTTGCTTATCACCTTCATTACCAACTCTGCAAAATATGCTACTAGCATTGGCCATCACAGCAGCAAGGACAATGCCTTCTCTACCCAAACCAAGATTGAAACAGCCAAGAATAAGTTTACCAAGCCTAGGTTCGATCCCCATTTTTACTAAGCACTTACCTTCATGAGTTAATTCATGAACATTATTTTTCAGCTGAATGACTCCTAATTGAATTAGATTCTTGATTGCCATCTCAACAGAGCTAGGACTTGGAGCATCAACAAAATCAAAATCCTGCACATTCTTCACTCCTAAAGCAAGAATCCTCAAAACTGCTACACCAAGATGAACTCTTCGAATCTCAGGTTCTTGATTTAGTTCCATACACTGATAATCAGCTTCTGAGTACAGTCTGTAGCACCTACCAGGCTCAGTCCTCCCGGCACGACCAGCCCGCTGATTAGCAGAGCTCTGGCTGATCCAGCAAACCTTAAGTACATTCATTCCGCTGCCAGGATCATATCGACTGTCTTTAACCAACCCAGAATCTATCACATACTTAACACCAGGTATTGTAAGTGATGTCTCTGCAAGATTTGTTGAAAATATCACTTTTCTTTTTCCCGGGTAGTTCTGGAAAACATGAAATTGCTCTTCAGGCGAAAGTTTTCCATGTAAGGGCAACGCAACTGCTGAGGGAGCTACAAACTTTTCACAGGCCCATTCTACTTCTATCTGCGAGGTCAAAAAGGCAAGAATAGTTCCCTCTTTCTCAGTTTTGTCAATCTCAGTCGCCATTTTGACAACATCAGAAACATAAGAGGCAACAACAGCAGAACCAGACTGTCCTGCATAGTCAGAAGGAACATATCTAACATCCACAGGAAAGTTTCTCCCAAGCACGTGAAAAATTCCACAACCATAGAAGTATTCAGATAGCTGCTTTGCATCAGCTGTAGCAGACATAATGATAAGGCGCATTTCAACCCTCTTACACAGTAAATTCTTTATCAATGCCAACAGTAGATCAGTATTTAAGCTCCTTTCATGAGCCTCATCAATTATGATGCACGAGACCCCAGACAAATTATTATCACTCATGTAGTGCTGCAATAAACAGTGATCTGTCACGAATTTTATCTTAGAATCAGAGTCGCAAAGGGATGAAGATGTAGGATAAAACATGATTGAATTGCCTTCATAACATCCAGTGCTTTCTTCCTGGACCCTTTGAGCCAATGATTTGGCAGCAATCTTGCGAGGTTGGGTGCATATTATGGACTCATCAGTACCGATGCCTGCATCAACAAGAAACTGTACCAACTGCGTACTCTTCCCAGAACCAGTCTCTCCAATCAATACCATTATCTGTATGTATATACACTAGTCAGAAGAACAGCAAAACAATAGATATCTAAATAGCAACACAATTTATAGTATCCACTGGCAATAAAAGTCAAATTTTTACGCACAAACCACAAATACTAAAGCTGCAGAACAGGAGAGGGATAAAAAAAAGACATAAGGGTATAAGTCAATAAGCATGAGTGCATCATCAAGAGCACGGGAGTAGGGAAAAAACGGGACTCTAGTGGTAGTAATCTAATGAGTAGAATAAATGAAATTAGAGGGGTGTTACTTTATTTATAATAAGTGATTGCCCGAGTCTTTAGTATAGGGGAGTACTGAAGATAGATAAACACAAAATGCACTCATTAGAATTAAAAATTTAAGATACAAACTTGTAAAACTTTTGAAGGGTAAACACATTAGAGAAATTATTATACCTGTTGAGAATGTATTTCCTGAAGAATATCCCTTCGGTAAGCATAAATTGGCAATCCATCCTCAAGTCTGCGACACTCCCTCATGATCAGGCAGTGAATCTTCTTCCAATCCAAACTTCCATCAAACCTAAACACACTAAGAACATCATCACCACCCTCCACCTTATTCTCCTCCAGATACTGCAATATACACTCCATTGCAGAATTAAACTCTTGTATTCTCCTTTCAATCAGTTTCTTCTCATCATCAAGCCCTTTCTTCTTCTCCATCTGCTGCCAGTGCACGCCAATTGGCAAAACTTTACCCAACATGTTTGCAGCTTGTGCAATCTCCTTCGATAATCTCTCGCTTTCTGCTACCCAACGCTTCACCTCCTTGCCTTCCATCAACCCCTTCACGTGGCTCGCGAATAGGGTTCGGAGGCAACCTTCGAGTTCAACCCTGTCGGAAGGGACGCGAACGTTCCAGGTGAGCTCCGGCGTGAAATCGTGGACTCCGGAGAGGCGCGATTCCCAGAACCAAACGACGGCGTCGCGTGCGTCCACCCACTCCCGGAAATTGAGGACGGCGGCGACGCGATCGCTGGGGTAAAAAGAGGAATATTCCGGCGCCGACTTGCATTTGCCGATCAAGGACTCAACGTCCTCCCGGCGGTAGGCACGGCGGCTGGAACGGAGCTTCACGACGAAATTGGGCTCCGGAGGACGGTCCAGGCAGTGGTTTGGTTGCAATTGGGGCTTCCAGTAAGTGTATGAATGGTGGACGGGACGGGGACGGGGGTGGGAATTCCATCCGCCGTGGGGAGTTGGATTGTTGAAAACAGGGCGGCGCCGGGTGGCGCTGGGGTGAGGGTTTGCATTCATGTGGAAACAATAGCGATGAAGGATGAATGAAACCCTAAATGGTTACACAGTGAAGTGAAAAATGAAGTCTGCGTGTGTTTTAGATTGCGTTTGCGTTCTCTGCGTTGGTCTTGGTCGTGTAGCTCACACTTTCTCTATCTTGCACTTGTTGTTCCCTTTCCCTCTAGTCTCTTCTTTTTTATATATAGTGATTTCCTTTGATGTAATTCATGGTTTTTGGATTTTTGTGGCTCACACTTTTTCTATCTTGCACTTGAGCACATTTTGTACCCGTTTATATAGGCTTATATTTCTAAAAAAAAAAAAAAAAATTTAATAAAAGTCCTTTTGAAAAAAATTTAGATATTTGGATAACAATTTTTTAAAAAAGTAAAATTTAAAATAAAAATTTATTTGCTGTTTTTTTTAGCCAGTAGTTAGTTACTTTTAAAAAAAACAAAAATTTAAAGATAATATAATTTTTTTTTGAAAAAAAGATAATATCAATTTTAAAATATAATTTTAACTTCATCCTATCATACTTATTTTATCTCTCATTATCCCACGATCACGTTATTTTATCTCTCCCAGCACTGAAAATATTCTCTTTCCCTCTAGTCTCTTCGCAATACCTATCGTGTATCTTTTGGTCGATTTTTTGTATCGTGAATTGTAAAATACAAAAATATAATAAAAGATAATTTAAAAATATATAATATAATTAATATATTATAAATTCAAATTCTAAAAAAAATCCAATAATGTGACACACAAATAATGTTACGCACAATGTTACGACCACATCTTAACCGTTGATTTCCGCAATCAACGGTTATCATTTATTGCGAATCAAACTCATTAATAAATTATTAATTATCAATAAATGATAACCGTTGATTGGCGGAAATCAACGGTTAAGATGTGGTCGTAACATTGTGCGTAACAATATCCTATCCCTAAACAAAATACATAAGTAACTAAAATGCAAACTAATTATTCTCCTACTCATCAATCATTAAAACTAATATTATCACTACTATCACTATTAGCATCTATCAGTGACCTAATTATAAGGTAGTCATTTGACTCATCTCTCATTTCTTGTTCAACAGAGGTCATTTTCCCTTATTATTCTTATTGGCTGGATTGTTTGGAAGCTTGTAGGCCCTGAATGATTTTCAAAAATAAAATATTTCTTCCATAAAGATCGAAGAGATTTAGAATATTTACTTAATTATTTTATTTATTAATACAAATTTTTATATTAATTTTTTGAGTTAAAATCACAAATTAAATCTTTATTTTCTTTTCCTCATTAGTAATAATTTTTTAGATTTTTTTAATTTAAATCACAAATCAAATCTTTATTTTTTTTAAATTAAAAATTATGAATTTTGATTTAATTTTCACATCGTACTATACATGTATCGTACGATATAATATTATATCGTATGGTACAAACTCTTTTCTGATACACCACACAATACACATTGTTGGGTTTGTGAATCATATCGCATCATATCATATGATCGTATCATGTATCGTACGATACTAATAAATATAGTTTTTGGCTTTTTATTTTGTTTATAGCCAATAAAAGAAGATATTATATTTATCTCATTATTAATATTGTATTTTCCTTTATTTCTTTTATTGTTACTTTTCTATTTTCTTTTGCTGTTGTAACTAATTGGGTGCCTTTAGGTACCAGACTGGCCCACGCGTGTGTTAGCACTCTTTTAGCATTATGTTAGTTTTCTTGTTATAAGTAGTGAGCTCCTTTGTACACACTTTCCTGATTTTGAATGAAGATGAATATTCAGTTTTATTTTCACAGTATCTTTTCTCTAAGCTAATATGGCATCAAATGTATTTGTTTAGCCCTTGCCTTTTTCCATGGCTCGTGACAACAACACCGCTGCTCGTCCCCCTCCCACAGATTCTTCCTCTGGAAGTTCTCCCTCCATGGAAGACTCTTCCAGTCCTTATTTCTTACAGGGAGGTGACCATCCTGGTTTGATTCTTGTAGCCACACCTCTTTCTGGTTCCAACTATAATTCCTGGAATCACGCCATGCTTCTGGCTCTTACAGCCAAGAACAAGCTTATTTTCGTTGATGATTCTCTACCTCGACCTCCCCCTTCGGATCTTATTTTTTCTTGTTGGAACCGTTGTAATTCCATGGTTATTTCCGGGATATTAAATTATGTTTCAAATGATATCTCTGACAGCCTTCTATATTTTTCCAATGCCTTTGAAGTGTGGACTGACCTGAAAACTCGATACTCTCAGGCCAATGGTCCCCGAATTTTTCAGCTCAAACAACAAATTGCTTCTCTATGTCAAGGTTCTCTTGATATCAATAGCTACTATGGCAAACTTAAGGTTTTATGGGATGAGCTTCAAGAGTATCTTCTCTTTTCTCATTGTGCATGTGGTTCTCTTCGCGATATGAACAATCGAAGGGATGAAGATCATGTTATTCAATTTTTGAGTGGGCTCAATGACTCCTTTTATGTTGCCTGTGCTCAGATCCTGTTGATCGATCCATTTCCATCTCTTGCCAAGGTGTTTTCGATGGTTATTTAGGAAGAACGTCAACGCCAGATTTCTGTCTCTTTACCTGCTATTGCTGCTCCAGAAACCCATTTTTTGGGCTCTGTCACCAACACCGATCAAGCTCCGGCATCCATGGCTGTCACGACTCAGCGGCGCCAACGACCCATCTGCACCTACTGTAATCTCTCTGGCCACACAAGAGTGAAGTGTTTTAAGCTTTATGGGTTCCCACCTGGCTACAAGTCCAGGAACTTAAAGCCCAATAACCCTCATTTGGCTCATTCACCTCAGGCCCATTTTGTCCAATCAGCTGCACACCACCCATCCCAACTCAAATTCTTTCCCAAATCTAATGTGACTCTCAACCCTAATCCCTCAGCCGCAGACGTCCCTCTGGCCTTCACCCCTACCCAGTATAACCAGCTGCTTTCCCTCATCCAACAGAGTTCTGCTCCTTCATCCGTCGTCGAGTCCTCCATTTCTCCTTCGGTCGCGAGTTTCAGTGGTAAGTCTTACGTTTCTTTTTCTCCTTCTTGCTGGGTATTAGACACCAGTGCTACCCATCACGTTTGTGTCACCACTGACCTTTTTGTTTCCTTTTCTCTGTCACACTTTGTGGTCACTTTTCCAAATTGTTCTTCTGATGTTGTCTCCGCTGTTGGAAACATTTCCCTTGCTGATTCTCTTTCTCTTTTGAATGTTCTCTGTGTTTCTTTATTTGTTTAATCTTCTCTTTATTCCTTCTTTAACTCGTGATTCTTCTATCATGGCTAATTTTTGTGCTTCTTCTTGTTTGCTTCAGGACTGTGTTACGGCCAAGCTGATTGGGATAGCTAAGAGATGCGGTGATCTCTATATTCTCGACTGCAACTCTCTTTTTTCCCCCAAATGATGTTCCCCCTCCTCAGTGTTCTTCTGTTTTTAAAATTCCCCCTCCCCTGTGTTCTTCATTTTCTGTAAAGGATCCTATTCTATGGCATTCCAGAATGGGTCACTTATCTGCTTCGGTTTTGAATTCTATGAAAATATATTGGGTTTTTCTGATAATTTACCTGTTTTGCATCATTGTGTTGTGTGTCCCCTAGCTAAACAGAAGCGTTTACCCTTTCCATTAGACCCCAAACTCTCTGCCTCTCCATTTATGCTTGTGCATTGTGATATTTGGGGTCCCTTCAGCACTCACTCTGTTGAAGGCTCTAGGTATTTTCTAACCTTAGTTGATGATTCAACTAGGTTTACCTGGATTTATTTTCTTCGAAGAAAATATGACTTTTCTTCTATTTTTCCTTCCTTCTACAATCTTATCCACACTCAGTATGGGCTTTCCATTAAGTCCATCAGGTGTGATAATGCTCCTGAGCTTCTTTTGCCTTCTTTTTATTCTTCGAAAGGCATTCAAATTTTCCACTCTTGTGTGGATCGTCCACAGCAGAACTCTGTGGTTGAGCGAAAGCACCAACACCTGCTTAACATTGCTCGCTCCTTACATTTCCAATCCAATATTCCCCTGCCATATTGACAGGATTGTGTTCTTACTGTTGCATACCTTATCAACAGAACACCATCCCCTTTACTTGCTTCCAAAACTTCATTTAAACTCCTTTCCCAAAAACAACCTTCCTATACTCACCTGTGGGTATTTTGTTGCCTTTGCTACAGCTCTACACTTCCTAAACATAGACATAAGTTCTCCCCCATGTGCCTTACCAGCTGTGTTTCTTGGCTACCCACCTGGATACAAAAGGCATAAACTCCTTGACCTTCAGTCCAATACCATTTTTATCTCTCGTGATGTTACCTTTTTTGTGAACATTTTCCATTTTAAAATGCATTCCCTTTTGTCTTCTTCACCTGATAATTTTCTCCAATTACCTCATCCATGTACTGAAGCCTCTAACACCAATGCTTCTACCTATCCTGCCCCCTTGCGGTCTCAACGCATCCGCGCTACCCCCACTCGCCTTAATGACTGCATTTGTTCTACCAGCCATCCTATTTCTGGTTCCATTTCCTACCATTAGCTGTCTTCTTTTCATACAGCCTTTGTTAACTCCATTTCTGGTCATTTTGAGCCTATTTCTTATTCTGAGGCTTCCCAGTTACCAGAACGGCAGCTTGCTATGGATTCTGAGTTATCAACCCTTGAACACAACAACACCTGGATAGTTGTTTCTCTTCCTCCTGGCATGAATGTCGTTGGCTGCCACTAGGTTTACAAGGTAAAGTATAATTCAGATGGTTCTTTAGAAAAGTATAAATCCTGATTGGTAGCTAAGGGCTTTACCCAACAGGAAGGTGTGGATTTTATGGATACCTTCTCTCCGGTTGCAAAATTGACAACTGTGAGGGTTATTCTTGCTCTTGCTGCAATAAACAATTGGACTCTTGTTCAACTTGATGTTAATAATGCATTCCTTCATGGGAAATTGCTTGAGGAGGTTTACATGAACATTCCTCCTGGTTACTCTTCCAAGTTTTCTTTTATGCCTCCCAATGCTATTTGCCGCCTTCGTAAATCTTTATATGGTCTTCGCAAGGCTTCCAGACAATGGTTTGCAAAATTTTCTTCTACCTTATTGCACCTTGGTTTTATTCA